TTCCGATTCATCATTTGGCGTAGAAAACTGTTCGATAGTAACATGATTCGACCCCATTGTAATGAATTAACGTGTCACAAATTGGCTGTGTTATTGGTTTCATCGATCATCTATTTTCGATTCAATGAAATTTAAATTTATCAAATAATACAACGCAATCCCCTTCAAAACCGTTCTAGCGTCCTTTGAGTTAAGTTTAGTTTAGCTTTACTATAGCAGGGCTGGTAGCGAGTCACTTTTTAGTGACTTGGTCACTTTTTTTTTTTGACTTGTCACTAAAAAGTCTCTTTTTTTAAGGTCAAGTCACTATTTTCAACTTTTTTAGCGTGAATTTATTTGAAGATTCATTATTCTTTTCGTTGTGACGTTTAATCGTCTTTCTCTATATACAGGATGTCTACTAATTTTTCTGGATAAAATTACCTGAGTTTTCCAAGTAAGTGAGTCCAAGATCTAAACATATTCAATGTCTTAAAGTTTCGTGTTAGTATGTACAAGTTCAAAATATAGAAAATATTCAAAGTGCCAGAATTAAGTAAACAAATAAATGATTTATTTCAATTTCGTAATTAACTTTATGAAAGAATAGAGATCTTCATTATAGTCCCATTAACTTTACAACAATTGTAGTAACTTTGGAGAAGAAAATGCTGAGAATTTCAATGAAGCTCTATAAACAAACTGCAGGAACATAAGGGTAGTTACCACGCTGAAAATATGGGAAACTTACTGGAAGCTGTAAGCACCTCAAAGCGGTTCTTTTAGCATCCGAGAATTTTTTTTGAAGTTCCTAGAATTTCAGAAAACTTCACAGGTGTCAAACGAACTTGAGAAATTTAAGAAAATTTGAGGGGTATTGTGAAATTTTTTAAGAAGTTGTAAGCACCTCAGAAAAGCTGGATCTAGAAATCTTTAGGGAATTTCAGATCTTAAGAGCATTTCCCGTAGCTATAGTCTAGACTTTTGGAGAAGTTTAAAATCTATAATCGTAAATTTAGATAAATTCAAGATAGTTCCATGATGTACTAAAAAACAAATCGAGAACCCTTAAGGTGTTCCGAGAATTTCAGTACAGGAAGTACATAGACCTTCAGAGAATTTATGAAAACTTCAGAAATATTTCAGAAACTTCACAGAAGTCCAGAGAATTTCAGTGATATTAAAAAGTGTTTACGGGAATTATTCCCGCTGATGTTCCGTAGGTTAGGAATTGTGAACCCCTGTCCGATTTCTGTAAGCAATTTACAACACACGTTGAATTGGTTGTAATATAGCTTTAGAAAATTTCGGTTTGCAAAGGTATTGATAACACAATTCCAACTGTACTGAATGATGACACGCGAAATTAATTCGTGTATTATATGCAATTTTAATAGGGAATAATCACTTCAGTTTAGATATAAGTTTTAGCTAGCTTTCAACAAAGGTCTTTATCTCTGGCAGCCTCAACTACTAATAATCATGCAAGTCATTATGATCTTGCCCTTCTTTCTCTTCTGCTTCTCCTTCCGTACTGTCGTTTTGACAGCTGACTGCGGTCGTCATTGGAGCGTCACCTGAAGTGTTGCCAGTATCAACAGGAATTCTATTCATTTCCGGGCAGAATCGAAATCTTCAATAGAACTAAGAGCTTTATAGAAGCTTCGAGAACATCAATACAGGTCAGAGAATCAAAGGGCAGTTCAAATCATTTCAAGGAAATATTAGAAACCTTAAAGAAGTTTGGAGAAACTTGAATTTCCGAAAACTTCAGCAAAGCTCCGAGATAATTCCTGAAACGTGATACACATTTTATGAGCATCCGAAAAACGTGAGAAAATTTTAAGGTTGTTATATCATGGAGACTCCAAGAACTTAAAAAAATGCGAAAAATTAGCTAAGTTGATTAGAGAACATCAACGAAGTTTCATTAATAAAAAAAAAGCGATAACTTTTAGCAAGCAACGATATCTTCAAGAAATTCCAGAGAACTCAATTTAGATATTTTTAGATAGTTTTATGATATTCAGTGAAGTTCCGAGTACATCGAGGATGATCAGATAGCTTCAGAATAATTCCATTAAATTCTAGATAGAAAAACTTCGGAAACTTTACAGAAGGACAGTGAAGTAATTTGTGGGGAATTTAAAGCCGTTCCCAGATTTTCAGATAAATTTAGAGACGTAAAAAATAATTTGAGGTCTTCGCATAAGTTCAGAAGTTCACTGAAGCATTTTTAGGACGATTTAATTAAATTCAGCGCAGTACAACAAGCTTCATGAGAACTGCAAAAACTTTAGAGAAGTTTTGAGAATTTCAGAAAAGAACAGAGAACCTCAGAGCAGTTCCGTCAACATCAGAGAAGTCACATAAATTTTAAAAAAGTTTAGAGGACTTCAGTGAATTGTTAAACCTTTAAAGAAGATCCATGATCGTTAGAAAAATTAAGGAAACTTTAGGAAGTCCTATAAAGTTCAGAATTTGAGGAGAAGTATTGTGAGCATCAGGCTAGTTTATCAAACTACAAAAGAACTTCAAGGCAGCTTCATTAACTTCAGAAAAAAAAAATTGAAAATTTTCAAGTGATTCTGAAGACCTCAAAATATTCCATTCCATATTCAACGGAGATTTCCCCAAAATATCGATGAAGCTATCTTCAGAATTACATTTTTTTTTAGTTTTTGGTAGTTTAGTTTAGTTTTTTTTCTCGGAATAACCTTGAAATTCTCTACAATTAGAAATCCTTTGGAAAGATTCTCCGAATATTCATTGAATTCATTTCAAATTTTTTTTTGAATCTCACTCCTTACCTTGAAATTTTAATCACATTGAAAGTCTCACAACAATTCTTTGGCATTTCTCCTTTGAAATTCCTTAGATTTATTCCCATAATTTGTTTGCCAGATTTTCCTGAATTTATATTCCGAATTCCTTTGAAGATGTTCTGGAGTTATTCTCACATTTAATTGTAATCCTCCTTTTAGTATTTTCACACAATACTCCTACAATGCTCCTCGGAAATTCCTAAGATTTTTCATTAAAGTTTACTTTTAACTCAATTCAGGGTTTCTTGTAATTCTACTCAAAACTAAGGCTTCACATGAAATCTAAAATTCATCCGAACTACCTCAAAAGCCGATTGCATTTGTTTTTCTGAATGTTTTTTTTTTTCAAGAGCTCCCTTGGAATGAGGTCCTTAGAAACTATAATAAAATTCCTCGAATCTTTAAAACTGCGCATGGAATTTGACTCCAGATTCTTAAAAATTTATTGAAGTATTATAGCTGTTAAGTCCAGAACTTGTTCAAATTTATTTTTTTAGGAAATAGTCATGTTCCAAAACCAAAAAAAAAATATTTGTAACTGAAGATTAATCCACTGTGAATCTTTAAAGTTCAAAGTATGAATGAAAATAACGAGAACAATTAAATGGTTGTATTTTAAAATTCATTATTTTCTTTAAAATATCCTTAGTGACATTTTTTTAATTCCTTGAGACTTCCAGGTAGTTTAAGGAAGAAAAAAATTCCTGAGGATTCCTGGTTTGGCTAAAAACTTTCTTTTGAATCTTTCGCTTGAAAGGTTCATATCGTACATAAGTGTTTATGAGATAATAATTGAATAAGTATAAAACATCAAATATTTATTTGATGCGCCTTCTCTTAGGTCACTTTTTAGTCACTATTTTTAAAAACTATAAGTCACTATTTGGTCACTTATTTATTCAACATGGTCACTAAAATCACTATTTCTGACGGCAGTGATCGCTACCTGCCTTGCTATAGAGACTTTCAGCACCTGGCTGGTTCGTCTCTTCTGTAACGTCCTTTGAGCTGTTGATTTCACCACCGTTAAATATCATCCCCATTAGCGGCGCCGGTGGTGTAGTGGTAAGCGTGAATACTTCTCACCCCAGCAGGCCTGGGTTCAATCCCAGTCGGCGCCGCCGGGATGTTCTGAGGCATAACATCGCTGATCACGCCTTCCTTCGGAAGGGAAGTAAAGCCGTTGGTCCCCGGTTCATGAGTTGATGGGTCGATAGGTAGGGTCCAGGTGTGGGAGCTGCCTTCCTGGCGTTGGTAGCATTGGTGCTCAGCACGGAAAACAAGATCGACGAAAAACAAACCAAAGAAAAAAAATATCATCAATACCTAATTTCCTAAAACCAAACCCTTACGCTTAAATATCACATCATTCAGCAGCAGTGCTACACAAATACAACAACATTGTAATGACTCTCAGCACCTCAACATCAATCGCTACCGTACAAAGTACCTCCAAAATGACGCATCTACTACAACCCAAACTCTGATTTTACCCAAATACAGTAATCCCTCCATATATGCGGTGAGTGGTACCGTCCACCCAACACTACTTCTCGGTTGTCAACAACTTTCAACCAATTGAGCTGATTTTCTGAAGATAGCTAGTTATGGTTGGCACTAATCAACGTAATTGGTTGAAGGAGACCATCCACCTACTGTAGTAGCAACATAATGAACCTGCCTGGTACTGGCGATAACGCTCAGCGTCTTTACGAGGAATCTTCAACCGTCACAATAAACGATGCTACATACCTGGAAACCCCACATTGGATTGAATTCGTCGGAAACAAACATGTATATATGCAACGTGTCCCGAGAAGACCGAAAGGTCCTACCAATATTTCACCGGAACACCTTTATGCGTGAAATTCGTTCGATTCAAAGCGTGGTTTTCAATTAGGAAAAACTTTCCCTCAGACGTCAATCTACGCTGAGTGATGAAACGGGCCGGGGAATACTTTTGCGACCTACGGAATGTTTGCTCTTCTTCGAAGGACACTCTAATCGATGACGGCATCCGTCGAAAGTTTGGCGCACAAAATGTCACTTTGTTGTTGAGCTTGCTTGTTTATTCTTCAAGCATTTCCTCCTGGCCGTAGGACTTCAGCGTAATTTTAATTGAGCGACGTTGATGCTCGTTTGTACTGACTAATCGAATTTAACGTTTTATTTTTCTATTTTCTTCTCCATTTTCAGACTGTCATCTTGAGCTGATCTTTGCAATTCAGCGTTGTTTATTTGAAGGTAAGTGTTATTATTTGTGAATTGGGGCTTGGGTTTAGAAAAAAATCCCAATACTGGGTATTTCTTCTATAGAGATTTTGGGGATTAAATTAGTTGATTCTACCATTAAAAAAACTGTTATTCTTGTGAGTAAGCAGCATCCTTCCACCGTTCCAATTTTGATACATCCCCAGAAATCAATCCGTTGTCAAGAAACCGAAATCTATGAAGATATTTCCTCGAACCAAAGTTATTGCCGCGTGACTTGTTTCGTTAGCACGCCTTTCGCCAACAATTATTCATATCTGAAATAACCAACAAGCAAACCCCGAAAACGCCCTCACTCACACAATGATCTCGACAACCTTGTCCTAATTATGTTCATTTTAAGCTGCTCCGAAGGCAAATCAAGCGATAACCTTTGCCCCATTTGGATTTCCATTTCCACACGGCTAAGCAGCAGGTGATTCGGAGAAAAAACGCCGCTGTCAGAATATTCCACCCAGTCGCCCACACCAGACAGACTCGCGGCTCGTCTGCACCTGAAACATTATATTTTATTAGTCACGAAAATATCGACCTCTAACACCTAACCACCACGCCAACCATATAAAAAAAAACACGGAGCTGTATCCGGTGCACCAGCCGTGAGTTCGATCTTTGGCATTGACTGTGGTTGGCGTTGGATAACATGGTAAACAGACACCGACATTCGAAATAGTCCTTCGGAAGCGAATCGCGCTGGTATCTACCATGACTAGAAGAAGGCCTCCAGACGGTCGACCGTATGAGATTGGGTGGGGTTGTTCCATGACCAACTCAGGTGAATTGTCATAGATGTGGCTCGATGATTTCAATGGTTATGATATGGTAGTGATAGTAGAGGTCGGCTCTACGATTTATCCGAGGACGTGTCGAATCAAAAAATCACTGATTTTCTAGGAAGATACGGTGACGTAATCGCAATACGAAACATCGAGTCGTGGGTCACGATCGACGGCGAAGTGACGAATGCATCGTATTTCGGGCAGCTACAAACATGCCGACACTGCCGCGAATACATGCACATCGGGGCTACTTGCGTGCAAAATAAAAAACTGCTCGTGCAAAAATCATACGCCGATGCCGCAAAGCAGACGCCGTCGCAAAAAACGAGTCAAGTCGACTATAGTGCGAACCAAACCAACACAAACTCAAACCAAACCACTCCCAATGCGAACCTAACTAAAACGACCTCGAACCAAGCTTCCCGGCCTCGGTTCGAACCAATCTCGGCCAAAGCTGTTACCATGCCACCACCGAAACAAATTCCCCAACGTCAACAACAGAAGCTGCTACCACCAGTTCTGACCGAACAGAATTTCCCCACGCTAGCCCCTACCTCGGCTTCGATTCCCCCATCGGACAGCGGGTCGTTGACTCCCTATACAAGTCAACAACCCCCCGCTAGCGGCGGAGTGGATCGCAAAACTGCTAGTGGTAAGTCCGATGGAAACGAAACAGATTCGTCTGTAGGGTCATCCAGCTCCAGAAGACACCTCCGCACTCGACCACCAGGCAAGAAGCCTCGCGTGGATGACGACTGCGACGACAAGCGAGATGGGAGTAACCAACCGTCCTAATGGCTGAGTTCTCCAGTTACAACCTCGCCACCATCAACATCAACAATATTATGAACGCAACGAAGATTGACGCTCTTGGAACCTTTGTACGAACACTGGAAATGGATATCGTTTTCCTCCAGGAGGTGGAGAATGAGCAACTCTCTATCCCTGGCTTCAACGTTATCTGCAATGTGGACCAAGCAAGGCGGGGAACGGCAATCGCGCTGAAAGACCACATACAATTCTCGCATGTGGAGAAGAGCCTGGATGGTCGTCTCATCGCTTTGCGGGTGCAAAACACGACACTCTGCAACGTATATGCGCCATCGGGGACAGTTGTTCGTGCGGAAAGAGAAAGATTTTTCAACGGCACGATCGCGTACTACCTTCGGTACAACACTCAAAACGTCATCCTCGCTGGAGATTTTAACTGCGTGCTACGTCCGAGCGACTCAACGAGTTCCAACACAAGCCCGGCTCTCCAAGCGACCGTACGGCAGCTACAGCTTCACTATCTGTGGCTGAAATTGTACCCCACAACCTCCGCACCCACGTACATCACACACAATGCGGCATCCAGGCTCGACCGCATGTATGTCAGCGCTAGGCTTTGCGAGCATCTGCGGAGTGCTGCCACGCACGTATGCTTATTCACGGATCACAAAGCGCTAACAGCGCGCATTTGCCTTCCCCACCTTGGCCGCGAACAAGGACGCGGTTACTGGTCCCTCCGCCCTCACCTCTTAACCGCCGAGAACTTAGAGGAATTCCAAGTGCGATGGCAGTTTTGGACCCGCCAACGGAGAAATTTCCCCAGCTGGATGACATGGTGGCTCTCATGCGCGAAGCCAAAAATAAAATCTTTTTTCCGATGGAAGTCAAGTGAAGTTTTCAGAACTTTCAACGCAGAACAACAACGACTCTACGAGCAATTACGACTCGCATATGATGGCTATTACCAGAATCCCACCATGCTGGTGATCATCAACCGCGTAAAAGCACAAATGCTCACGTTGCAGCGGCAATTTGCGCAAAACTTCATCCGCATCAACGAGACGTTTATAGCCGGCGAGAGGATATCCACTTTCCAGTTGGGTGATAGACGACGTAAAAAAAACAACCATAACAGGACTGCAGAACGAACGAGGAAAGCAAATACAAGGCTCTCTGGAGATCGAGCAACACATGTTTCGATACTTCAGGGACCTGTATGCGGCGGAAGAGACGAGGCAGGAGTGGGAAGAAATGTTCGAAACTGAGAGAGCCGTACCCGAGAACGACGAAGCCAACGCAGCTCTAATGGCAGAGATCAGCATTGACGAGTTGAAAAACTCCATCCGAACGTCGCAAAAACGTAAATCACCGGGGATCGATGGTTTGCCGGTAGAGTTCTACCTACAAACTTTCGACGTCATCTATCGAGAGCTCTACTTCGTTATTAATGAAGCTATGACGAATGAGCTCCCATCTGAATTCGCCGATGGCACTATTGTGTTGGTTAAAAAGTGAGGTGGGGATGGGACAGTAATGCTGGGTTTAGACTAGGCAAGTCAAATGATCAACTCAGTTGAATTCAATTGGCTTGCAAAGTTGAGCCTGGTTCAACTTTTTTCAATTCAAGTGAGTTGATCAAGTCAGTTGAATGGCATGGTTTACACGTTCAATTCGCGTTCAAGTCAGTTGAATTCAACTGACTTGATCAATTGACTTGCCCTGTTTAAACCCAGGTTAAGAGCATACCGTCCGATCAGCCTGCTCAACGTCGATTTTAAAATCCTCTCCCGCGTGATGAAGGCCCGCCTGGAACGAGTACTGCGGATCCATCGAGTCCTGAGTGACTCTAAAAAATGCGCAAAGACCGACCGTTCTATTTTCCAAGCTACACTCTCGCTCAAAGATCGTATTGCGCAGCTAATCGCGAGGAAGCAGAAGGGGAAGTTGATCTCGTTCGATCTTGACCACGCGTTCCATCGGGTCTCTCATGAGTTCCTGCATCGGACCTTGCTCTCTCTGGGCTTCGACCAGGGTTTCGTCTGTTGGCTCTCTCGAGTCGCTGCTGCCTCTTCATCACGGCTGCTAGTGAATGGCACGATGGAAAATGAACAGGTGGGCAGGAACTCACAGTCTCCCAGTGTTGGTGAGTTCTTTGCCGTTAATGTTCACGAAAATTTCACTATTTTGCTATACAGAAATTCAAAACAAAAATTTTATCTGCGGATTTGAACAGTTTTTGACCTGTTTCATACTACCGGAAGGTGTATGCTGGTCACAAATGCCGTGCCAAACTGATTTCCTACTCAATTAATCAATCTTTGATGTGAAATTCGCTAATAAACACGAGGCGCATTTCGTATAGCAAACATGCCATAACAAAATGGGCATGGTTCATTTAAGTAAACAAACTAACACTTCTTCCGACTCGAGACGGCTAATACATAGGTGTAACAGTCGGAAGAAGTGTTAGTTTGTTTACTTAAATGAACCATGCCCATTTTGTTATGGCATGTTTGCTATACGAAATGCGCCTCGTGTTTATTAGCGAATTTCACATCAAAGATTGATTAATTGAGTAGGAAATCAGTTTGGCACGGCATTTGTGACCAGCATACACCTTCCGGTAGTATGAAACAGGTCAAAAACTGTTCAAATCCGCAGATAAAATTTTTGTTTTGAATTTCTGTATAGCAAAATAGTGAACTTTTCGTGAACATTAACGGCAAAGAACTCACCAACACTGGGAGACTGTGAGTTCCTGCCCACCTGTTCATTTTCCATCGTGGTGCAAACGACCCAAACTGTCAGCACTGTGCGGTAGGAATCGAGACTTTGCAACATAAGTTTTGCGAATGCCCTCCCTCGAGTTGCTGCAGCTTGGGCACACATCCAGCGAAAATTGATGACGACGCTCGGTGGCTGGCAGAGACTGAGCTTCGACGACGGGTAACATGACAACAGCGAGAAGAAATCAAATTTTAAAAACGTTCATTAAGTACATCAACTTTGTCAATGTGAATATTAATAATAGAATAGATGTAGGCGTGCTAGATTTCATTTTGACTCTAGAAGATTGATATATTTTTTAAATATCTTGAATATGTTATTTAAGACCTAAATAAACAATATTTTACAAGAAAAAAAAAATAGGTCCTGTTATGTCTTGAATCGAATTATCAGGTAAATACCTTTGGTTAAGTGAGGGTTAGGGCGCGTTCTGACAGGTTGGTCGAGGCAGATTTCTTGTGTGAGTAAGTGATGAACATTGTTATGTGCAATTCACTTGACAAGGTGCCTTTCATATTGTATCACATGTTATTCTTTTGCTTAATTGAATGATCGCTTGCGAGAAATAGGCGATGAAAGTAAAAAATGACAGTTACGTTATATCGAGGTATACCTGTATATACAAATTGCTTATCA